TGTAAGCCTTCACCCAATTCACAGTGAAAAGCTTTTTAAAGGAGAGTTCTGAGAGAGAGAGAGAGAGAGAGAGAGAGAGAGAGAGGAAGAGAACATCTCACGCAGCAGCCCTGCATTTTGAGGACACAGGTTCCGAGTAGGGTTGGAGCTCCTACCCCCAGGTCTCCTGACTCTCAGCACAGACCCATTATCTTGGTCCTCTGCTCTTAGACGGCCTCACTGAGCTCTTCCTCTGAGCCTGCAGTGCCCCCAAGCACTGAGGAATCAAACAGGAGCCTGGAGCTGGGCATCAGGAAGCCTGGGTCTTTGATTTGGGCTCCATTGCTGACTTGCTGTGTGATTTTTCGAAAGTCCCTTCCAGTCTTCCCTAGTGGCACAGAGGTTAAGCACTTGACTGCGAACCCAAAGGTTGGTGGTTTGAACCCACCAGCTGTTCTACTGGAGAAAGCTGTGGCAGTTTGCCTTTATAAATATTTACGCAATTCTAGTCTATTCTATAGAGTAGCTAAGAGTCAAAATCAACTTGATGGTTTATAATTGACTGATGCCGGGTGGGCACACTGGGATGCCATCGAGGTTCCCTGCCCCCCTCATCTGTCCAGGGCTCTGGAGAAGAGCAGACTAGTATAAACCCCAAAACCAAACCACTGAGTCTATTCTGACTCATAGCAATTGTGTCTAGGGCTTCCAAAGCTGTTACCATTAAGCTGTACAGCAGGGGGAACGGGAGGCATGTGAAATGGCAAATAAAGCGTTTCATAGAACTTTGCAACCACAAAAAGGGATGTGCCTGTTACTACAACTTAGCTACAATCAGACACTTCATGGGATTCCTTTGCTTGGTCCCAAGATTGAGGATCATAGTTTTGTGGATCTATCCAGTCAATTGGCCCTATTTTGTTTTTTAAAATTCTGCTCCAAGGTAGTTGAACTTTGTGGAATTAAGGCCTTCTCCTGCATCTCCATTAGCTTTACTGGGGCGGGGTGGGGGGTGGAGAGGCTCTGGACATTTGGAAGACTCACCACTTTCCTACCCCAGAGACAGAAACTGACTGATAGACCGCATCACTAGTGCCCCTCCCCCCCACTGGACTTCTGTATTGATCTAAATCTCTTCAGTCCAGCTGAGCATGCGTGTGACCCTACCCCTTTTTGCTATGGTCTTGACCCTAAATGTGAAAATCAGCAAGCTTGCCTTACAATGGTAGAGACCCTAATGTCACCGCTCAGACAAACACGGCCCTAAGTGTAAGGGACAGCAGATAATGAAAGCTAGCTGTCTTAGTGACCTACCCATGTTAATAGTGAGGGTCGGGTTTGTATTATCATAGGAATTTTCATATGTTGCTGTATTCAGTGCTTACCTTGTTGTATTCTCCTCTGTAAAACTTGTTTTTCAAGACCTAAGCTTAATTCTTTTGATCCGAGGAACAATGCCCAGAATCAAAGTAACTATTTAATTTGAAGCAAATTTCATAGAGATGAAATCTAAAAATAAGAGTGGGGAATGA